TACTAAAAGATTTTCGGTCCAAATGAAGAAGATGTTTGTTCTTAAAATTGGCATTTCTAATCAAAAAAAGATGAACACTTTGGATGTTATTAATTTGGGTAATAAGCTAGATGAGGTTATTAAAGATACTCAGCCTGTTAAGGTGGTGAACGAAGAGGTTGGGAATGAGACTACATATGTAGTAGTCAGTCCAGAAGTCAAACATTGTAATGTTACTGAGGTTGTTTCTGCGGTTGATGTTCAGAACAAATTTGGTACTTTATCCAATTTGGAGGAGGAGGGAATTATGAAGACCTTTGATGATGAAGCAAGAGGAGGTGTAGAGGAGGGTGAAATCCTTGGTTCACCTGTAGGAGGCAACCTTTGTATTAAGGAAAGATGTGATGAGATGCAATCTGGGATCTTACTGAAGACAGATAAGGGTCAGTCTTTATTAAATTCATCCTTATTTGGAAGCCATTCTTTTGAAAAGAAAGTTAAACTAATTAAAGAGCTTAAATCCCTTGGTTCTGGTAATATCATTCCTCATAATAGGAAAGGGAAAAGTTGAAAAGTTAAAAAGGTTGGGGGTCCTTCCCCCATCATTAAATAATGACTTCTTTACTTTTTTGGAATTGTAGAGGAGCCAAGAAAGTTGAAGCTGCTCTATATCTTAAGGAGGTGATCAAGGATCATAGGGTTTTCTTTGTAGGTTGTTGGGGACGAAGATTAATTCCTTGGACAATAATCATATTATGAAGCTTTTGGGCATTAATTGGAGTTTTTTCATGGTTCCTATGGTTGGTCTTTCGGGAGGTTTAATGGTGTTATGGAGGAAAGATTTAGCTGATTTTTCTGTTATTGAGACTTCTTCCCAAATGGTAGTGGGTAATTTGAAGGTCAGCGGTAAAGGTAGCTGGGTTGTGGCTTCGGTGTATGGCAGTACTGATGCTCAGGAAAGGAAGTTGCTTTGGGATAATCTTGAAAGGCTTTGTTCAAATGACCTTCCTTTGGTGATAGGAGGCGATTTCAACTGTGTTCTTTCACAAGAGGAGAAAAGAGGTGGGAAGAAATTCAGCTTGACTCAGGGTTCCAAGGATTTTAATAGTTTCATGATTAACAACGATCTTCATGAGGTTAGATCTATGGGGCCTAAGTTCACTTGGTGTAATAATAAATCAGGTAGTGCTCGTATCCTGGAGAAGTTAGACAGATGCCTTATTAACTCCTCGGCTTTAAACATTATTCATCTAGCTCTTATTAAGCACTTGCCTCACATTGCTTCGGACCACTGTCCGATTCTGTTGGATATTTTCAAACCGGTGGAGTTTGTTAAAAAGGATATCAGATATGAAGAAGTATGGGCTTCTTAGCATGGTGCAACAGCCTTAGTAAGGAAGATATGGGTTAAGAAATGCAAAGGTGACCCGGCATCTATTCTCAATTTAAGGTTTAAAAAAGCTTTAAAGGCTCTCTTTTTTTGGAGTAAAGAGAAGCACAGGAATTTGACTCTGTTAAGAGACAAATTGAAGGGTGAAATCCTGGAGATTCAATTAGAAGAGGCGGAAGGTTGGATTTCTTTTGACAGATTGCAACAGTTAAGATTTAAAATCAATGAACTCAACATTACTTTGGCTCGACTCAACACTTGGTGGAAACAGAGAGGTAAAGCAAGGTGGATGAATGAAGGTGACTGTAATTCATCTTTTTTTCATGCTTTTGCAAATGCAAGGAGGAGTAATAACTAGATTCATCATATCAAAATAGTGGAAGGTGAGGTTTCGGAACAGGAGGCATTTCTTAGATTTTTTCAAGTTGAAATGGCAACACAGAAAATGCTCATTAGATGGATGGCCGAATCCGTCTGCCATCATTAGTAATGTTGACCAAATTATGCTTGATGTTGAGTTTACCGTGGAAGAATTGCAGCTGGTTCTGGAGAAGTCCAAGAGGAATATATCTCCGAGCTTGGACGGGGTTACTTTCTCTTTCATCAAAGATTTTTGGAATGTGATTAAAGGTGATGTGTGGAATGCGACTATACAATTCTTCACTTCTGATGCGATGTATAGATCCTGGAAAGAGACTTTGATTGTCTTAATTCCAAAAATCAAGTGTCCTTAAGAGCCTTCCAACTTCTGGCCTATTATTCTTTGTATGACTATATATAAAATCATTGCTAAAATG